TGCACATGGATGGGCGCTGTCGAGCGCCTGGAACGTTTTTGTGTCCCCACTGGACTGTTGCCCTCCTTTGCAGCAAGAGCGACAGCGCTGGCCAGGTGTTTGCTTTCCTGTTTCCAAAGTACTACGTTCAAATCTGTCGGCAGCTGTGTGTGGCGAAACAGTAGATCAGGCCTCTGGACCCATGTGCTCGGGTTTCAAGTGAATTTTTGAAGACGCTGCACCGAAGGTGCGGCCCTTCTGGGGTGGCTGCGTCTCGAACGATCAGTCGTTGTTTCCCTGCTTCCTTGTTTTCTTTTCTGTGTGTAACACAGAACGTGATGAGGAATTAATTGTTCCTCATCCCAGTCGATCGATCGATCGATTGATTTTGATTGATTTATTGACTGATTGAGTATTGATTGATTGCTGACATTGATTGGATTGATTGATGCTGCTCCCGTAAAGTGCCATCCTCCCACGTTCCTACACCGACAATTGTTCTTAACTGTTCAAAGAGACATCTGATAAGTCGCCTGATATTCCTCGCATCCGCCGCGTGGAGCAACATGAACTCGAGGCACGCATCTCAGCAAGAAACACCACACACCAAACAGGACAAAGTACAAAGGGCAATGGTACAATGGCCACTCCCAAAGCAGGAACCCCAAAGCAAATAGCCCCCAGTCGGACCCCAACCCACTGGCCTTTGCGGAAGTAGGAAGAACTATCACTCCCTTCTGCAACGGTGGGAAAACCAATGACCTCCATCGCAGCAGCTAAGCGCACACAAGGTACAAGACCTCAACTACCAAGCTAAGTACTGCCAGCGCTTAGCGCTGGGGCCCCGCGCCCACTGTTGAAGAAGCGTTGCATACCCTCCCTGCCGCCAGTATCTCTCGAGCGTGCACTTCGCAGCCGCTCGAAGAGCTGCCACTGGCCAGCCCCACCAGTGCTCACATCCGCCAGAAACGGCCCCGTCCCGCAACTCCAACACCCGGATACCGAAATTTGATACTCAGAGACTAAATTGTGGCATTATCTTGGGCTCTCATGGAAAAAAATCTTGGGCACTGCTTGCGTGGGCGAAAGAGGGAGCTGATCGCCATTCCCCACTTTGATATGTAAGATTCCTGATTATGTAAATTGAAGCAACTGGCAGAATCAAACAAATCAACAGCCCCCCTGCCTACACGGTTCGGAACCCGCTCCACTTTTCTGACCACCACTGCCCCCCACATCCCAATTTCAGCATGTTCGCCATTCTTCCAGAACCTTCCAGATGCCGGAATCGAAATTAGGGGTTTGGGATGATGCACTGCGAACGCCTGCATTGCCCTTCGCAGCCTGGCAGATGCCTGGGCATTGGCCTGTGCTGTTGCGTGTCTACAAACACTGGCAAACGTCGGCAAAGGTAAATGTTGAGAAGGAAACACACCAGTTCCCACATGAGCGACTCGACCCCAACCCGTCGGGGGAGGAAACCAGCCTTTTGGCCAACATGGCTGCAACGGCATGCGCGCCTTCTGCTTGTGCATGTCAGCAGTTCACTTAGGAGCTCTCACTCCTCCCTTTGGGGCCTAGGAAAATCCCGCTTCTTTCTTTGGGCCTCAAGAAACATGGATTCCTTTCTTTGAGCCTCAAGAAACCTGGACTTCTTTCTTTGTGCCTCAGGAAACTTGGGCACCTCTTTGGTGTCTCAAGAATCTTGGACTTCCTTCACTGGGTCTCGCGGAACTTGGACTTCCTTCGTTGAGGCTGTGGAACCTTGGACTCCTTTCACTGGGCCTCAAGAGACGGCTGGCAAAAGCAGCTTTACGACTTTTTGTTCCCCGCGGGTGGGGCAGCCGTCGTTGCCTTGTCATCCAGCTGGTAGGGCATGTAGGGCACCGTCACGCCACGCTGTGAGCGATGCACAAACGCAAAACCGTTATGCGTACACAGTACAAAGGGGGGCACAGTTGCATCGTAAGCACCGATAATCAATTCATGTAAGCACAAATAATGCAAAAGTGAAACGCTGCAACGGCTTGAGATCGCAGGCACATCCATTCGACTGCATTTGCAACCACATGACAAGCACTGCCCTTGTGCCTGGCTCGTGATGGCAAGCACAATTCATGGAAACCGTGCCAATAATGAGATGAACGTACTTAGATGGACGTTTCCTGGACTGCATCAATCATAGTTGCTGACTGAATGATGCCATTATCCAGGTCATTGCATGTTCAAGAGAATCTGTTCATCTGCCTTTGCTCAAAGGCGATCGCAAGTGGCCACTGCACGTGTAAGACAACGCACTGATGGTGGTGTTAGCAGTGACGCCACAACGTTGTGTGCCCCACAACCTACACCTACATCCTTGTTGTAACTGCACCTGTCATAAGCCAAAGCAAAAGTCCCCCAAGCTGTGTACACCACAGTGTGTTGGCATGGAACACATGCAACCCCACTAAACATGCAAAGCATGTGCAGCAAATAACTGACACAATCATAAGCTTCTGATGTAAATAGCCCATGCTTGAAAAAGGCCCTTACAATCAAAAGAACCCCCAAGTATGGTGGTTACTTGGGTGAAAAAGAGTGCCCAGGCAGAGGATCACCTCCTTAAGGGCCTTCACCACATCCTCAGTGAGCAGCACTGGCCTCTTGTCGCGCGGATTGTGGCCCAGCTCCTTCAGGCGGGACATTGGGAGCCCCTTCCTGACACGACAGAGTCTGCATGAGAGCACGCAGCACGATTCGCTGAGGCGTTGGCTTGGGTGAGTTCTTTGCATCCGCCAAATAGCAACTAACACATCTGACAAAAGTACAAGCTAACACAAGCATACAAACAGGTGAGTGGGCCAGTGGCATTGCAGTTCCACCTTCCAATTCGCTTTTAATGCACGACAGTGTGTGGCCGCACAGGGTGACGCTGTACAAGTGCGCAAGTTGGCAGCTGAATGCAGCATGTAAACAGAAACAAGACCTTGAGAGTAACCAAAACTCGGCATATCAACTTAGCAAGTTTGGAACAGAAACCAAGGAACCTACAAACCTCAGCGAAAGAAAAGACATATCACCCTGGGCTGCTGGGACCAGACCATTGCATACAGAGGCTCAACAGCCCACACGGTTCTCCATGAGCAGTCACAAACTGGTGCATCATCTTTGACAGCACAGAAAAAGGATCTGAAACATAGGTGCTAACAAGTGTCATCCTGTGTCATGTATGTGGTGCTGCTAGCTCTTCACATTATACATATCGAGCTGCCAGCTCCTTCTACACGTGCACATCACTGCAGCCCCTCTTTGCGATGCAGCCCTCCAAAAGTGGCGCGCTGCGGACTCACTGCTGAGTTTCTTCCAGAGTGGACCAAACGGACTGCTGCGCTGCCAGGGCAACCAGCTTGGCTCTGCATCGACACAGGGGTGTGAAGCTGCAGTCACGGCACTTGCCAGCAGGAGGCCAAACGCAGTCACTGGCCACAATTCATCTGCAACACGACAACACATGCTACTAGTGTGTATATCATAGTGTGTAGTACTGTGTATCACACTATGTAGTATCGCAGTATAATGACAAGGGGGTGCTACACTCCAATTCAGCAGCCTTCGAATGGCTAAAAGGGCACCAAACTCCCCGAAGTTGCCATTGCTATCGCAAATGCCAGAATGCAGTGAAATGCACAATTTTCCAACAGCTGAACCCACACAAGCAACGTGGTGAAGCCATGCCATTCACAAGGACATGGCCTCTAATAGGTGATTGGAAAGGCTGCCCCTAAACTGGCTTTTGATGGCTGAGCAATGTCCCAATATCATAATTCTGCACGCTCTCTTCCTGCACTCGGAGACCTCTATATCACCTCCTACAGAAAGTAAAATGGCTCATGATCTACAATTTATCACCTGTTCTCAAGAGTGGGGCTTGTCCATTTCAATATGTGTTTCAATTCTACCAGAACAACAGTCTCCAATTCACAAAACGCCCAACTCACAGGTTCGGGTCTTCGAAATCGCATCCATATCGTCGGCCGATGTGCCTAACCAGCTCCTCAGGAATCTGGACCATGCACACACCAGAACCTATCAGCCAAGAAATTTGTGAACTGGGCAATTTATTGTGACAATTTCCTTACAATTTGATAAGTAGCAATATGTCATAGTGACAACTTGTGGTGGCAATTTATGGTGGCAGACTCTCTACACCACACACGACAAGCAGCATCGATGCATTGTACAGCAAGCAGGACAAGTTCTTGAGCATGCATCAAGTAGAGTGAGATCAAAAATCTCTGACCAAACCAATGCACCCCTGTCCCCATCCAGCATTGTTGTGCCACGCTTGGAGAATCCAGCCATACACCCCCCCGATGACAGAGAGCTTCTTTTGCACTTGCTCATATTCTGCACAAGATGCGATTGACAGATTTGCGACATGTTTCTGTTGGAAGATTGCAGTCCTATCAATGGCCTGGTTTGCCATGGTTTGCTCAAGACTGCGAACACAAAGAACGCAACTCTTGAATTCACAGGCCCCCGCAGATCCAGCAGCAACCCTGTCCCTGTTGCCCACCCTTTGGCTGCACTCTGAGAATCCAACTCCCTGCAGAAGATGCAAAGAAGGCTCTACACCATCGCTTTGCAGCATGAAAAGGTCCCACAAACACTTGCTTAGGAGGAGATGCCCCTTGTATGACCTGTCTTTCTTTTGCATGCAACAAATCTTACCCCATCCAGCAGAAAAAGGATACCAAGCAACAACCAACACGTTCTGCCAGCCGATGAGCAGCCACTTTCTTCACGGTCAAATTACTCCCCCTCCCACCCCAAACCCCAAAAGGAACCAAAACCCTGTGTGGGAATTGGCATCCATGGGATAATTCGGGACCCTTGCACTCTGCAGGCGGTGATGAGCAGATGGTGCACAAGCACAGCCAAGCATGCTCCGTCTGCCAACATCCTTCATCAAATTTTCTAGGAAATTACTCTGCACTTTCTTCTGGCAAATTCCTCTGCCAAATTTTCTGGGAAATTCCTCTGCGTCCGGAAACACACCGTGGGCTCAAAGTCTTCCAGAGATCTGACCAACTCCGCGAGCTCGCCTGCAGATTCTTCCATCGTCGGTGCGCTGCTCCTTCACTGAGATGAGGCAAAGGCAGCAGCCAAACACAACATCAGAAAAGAAGTGCCCACTTTCAACCACAAATGCGCTCAAAAGCGTTGAGCATCGGGGAGAAAGCGCCGGCGTTCGAACGCAAATTCTCACAAAGGAGTTTAGGCTCAGGCTGAAAAACGCTAGCTTCTGATTGCAAGTTCTTGCAAAAAAACTGTGCGTCAGCAAGAAAGCGCCGGCTCTTGAACGCTAATTCTTACACAGGAGTTCAGCATCAGAGAGACAGCGCCAGCTTTCGACCGCCAGTAAAGAAAGCGCCGAGTTTCGACTCAGAGGTATTCAGTATGGGAAAGCAAGCCGTGACTCCAGACGCCCAATTTGCGCAAAGGCCTTCCGCATCAGACAGCAAGGGAGATCACGAGAGAGCTGGGGACTGCATCGGTGAGCAAGAACGCCGTTCCGAGGGGATGCAAACAGACAGCGAACAGAATGGCACGGAGGGACCGCGATGCGCGACGGGACACTGTTTAGGTATCGCGCTACAGCAATCCCACGGTCTACAACTCACGACAACAAACTCACCCCTGTCCAAGGCGACCCAAGACCCTCCACCGCCCCAACAAGAACCCTGGCTCCAAGTGCCCCGTACTTAAAAACGTCCCGGTCCTCAGTACTTAACGACGCTAATGCAGCACAAGCACAATGTACTCAGTACTTAACAATGCTCTGTCCTGCCCGGGCAGACCAACCACAATGCACTCAGCCCCCAGCGGTGGTTGGGCCTCCTAGCTCAGTACAAGCCTAATGTACTCTGTACTTAATATTGGTCTGCACTGTGCTTGCAGAAAGAAGCGCAATGCACTTAGTAAGTACTTAACTCAGGTATGGGCCCTCTGCTCAGTACAAGCACAATGTACGGCGAGCGCGGCCATGGCGCTTTCACTCGGCTTGACTACATGGACGGCCGCGGCGCCTCGCGGAGGCGGCCCGCGGGAGTCCAGCGAGCGGCAGCCTCCGCGCCGCGCCTTGAGCGCCTTTTGGCGCCCTGAGCCGCGTCGATCGGCAAATCGGCCGCGCCAACTGCTTCGATCGACCTTCTGTGGGCGCGACATGGACTCCCGCACGTACACCCAGGTGAGATTTGTTGCAACAGGGGGAAGGAAACGGATCAGGCAAAGGGCACCCTCTCCTGGGCAAATGTATGCGAGACACTTTGCCAGGCTGTGAGAAGATGGTTCAGGGTCACGGATGCGAAATGATGAGCGCACAGCGCCAGAAAACACAAAAGGCGCCCAGGCTGGGTTGACGGGCTGTTCGTCTTGTTTTTCTCTCTTTCTCTGAAAGAAGGTGATGCGGACGGTGATCTAGATGTCGGGAAAGTGGGGGCGAGCCGGGTGCGATTCGATTTGTTTTCCGCTGCGACGGCAAGCTGCCAAACGTCCACCCAGGTGGGGGGACAGTGTTCCGTTTTCTTTGGCTCTCTTTCTGTGAAGGGAGTGATGCGGACGGTGGAACAGATGCGGGGACGGGGGGAGGCGAGCCGCGTGGGAGTTCCTTTGTTTTCTGATGCGATGCCGAGCTGCCGGGCCCGGGGGGAAGGGAGTGGGCAGTCCGGCCCTTTGGGCCCCATCTCGGCCGGCGCTTTCTACCCGCCGCGTTTGCGGACGGGCGGGGGCTGGACGCGAGCCCGTGCCGCACGGTGAGCGGGTCCGGGCGCATGGGCGCGAGATCTGGCGCTCTCTGGCGCTGGAGAAATCCTGTAATCTGTTGATGAGCGACGGGGGCGGCGTCCGTGCCTTCCCTTGAGCATTTTCGGGGCAGGGTTGGGACGGAGATGTTGTCGCCGGACGCGTCCCCAGATGCGCTGCGTCCATCCGTTGCTTTCCCCTCCTGCCTGACGGGCCTGTATGCCGACAGCGCCCATTTGCATCGGTGCACGCCCACCCCCCCCAACCCCCTTGTGCAGTCGACGTCTCGAACCAAGTGCGCGCCTAGTGCTTCCTTGCGAGCCCACGCAAGGCCCCAGCTATTCTGTTAGCACTGGGACTGCCCCTGAACGCCTGACCGCGTGATGCACCCCAGTGGACCTGGAAAAGAAAACGTTCCCGCAGGTGACGTAGGGAGAACTTTGGTAAAAATCGATCTTCTCCCAAATCGGGTTCCCTTTTCAAGTAAAATTTCCTATAGGAAGAGGAAGAGATTCCCTCAAAATCAGTTTTCTTCTAAGTGGAGATCCCTTTTCAGGCACTCTTTCTTTTAGGATGAGGGAGAATCCCCAAGAAGCGGTTTTCCTTGTTGCAAAGATCCCTTTTAAATGAGATTGTCTTTTGGGAAGAGGGAGAATCCCCCAAAATCGGTTTTCCTTAAATTAAAGAACCCTTTTCAATGAGAATTTGTATTGGAAGAAAGGACAGATTCCCCTAATGTTGCTTTTCCTCAAAATCGATATCCCTTGTCAGGTGGAATTTTATTTGGAAGAGAGATTCCCCCAAATCAAGTTTTGTCAAAATCGACATCCGTTTTCAGTTACGAACTTTTTTGGGCACAGGTGAAGGGAAAGAAGACAGGCACGGCGGCGGGCATGGCAGCCGGCGGGGGCGACAGGCTGACGATCGGCATGAAGCGTCTGGACTCGCTGGAGGACCTGGAGGAAAAGATGAGCCCAAGGGAGGCCGTGGACCACGTTGCCAAGGAGGTGGCCCTGGTGGCGAGGCTGTCGGTGAGCCTGTGGGCGCAGCTGGGGCTGGGTGAGTGGGGAGAGGGAACTGTCCATCAAATTGGGATCCCTTTGGTACAAAGGTTTCGGTTTTACAAGACGTGCCCCATCCGTGGTATGTTCAGAGTGTTTGTCCCACTTTTTCTCAACCATTGAAGACAACCAATCTACTGCAATGTACCACCAATGTAGTATAATAGCCACAAAGCCACACATGTCTCTAAAAAAATTGAATCTGATGGGCAGTGCCCAGCGGTCCAGAATGGGTGAGTTGGGGTCTGGCGGGGTAAGGCCTGTTGGATGCTGAATGGAATGAATTAACATCTTCACAGGCAATGTGAAAGTGCGACACACTTGTCATGTCATGTGTCTCTGCTGAATTCAGATAGTCAAACAGCGTTCCTCTGCCAGTGGTGCACAATGACCTCACAATAGTTAGCAAAAACCCAGTCCTCACAGCATCATGGAACACAGCGTGGATGAAGTCCCAGCAGGGAGTCTTGCATACACCTGCTTAGGAGGGGTGCCCATTGTATGACCTGTTTCTTTTCTTCTTTGTAACTAATCCTACCCTGAGGAGGGAGCGGGGTTGGGGGGAAGAGGGCCCAAGATTCGTTGCACGAAGCAAGGAAGCATGTCATACACAGAGCCACCCCTCTAAAGCCCGTGGGTGGGTGGGTGGGTGTGGGGTGAGGAGGGGGGGGGGCGGACCGTATCTGCTTGTTGTGAGTTTTGTTTGTAGATTCACACGTGTTGCGTCATATATCAGTGTCCACGCACCACCGCCATTCTGAAAACAGAGATGTAGGCCTTGTGCCACCAAGGAAGAGGCGGCACTGCCAACAACAGCATTAAAATGTGACTTTTGTCTATCTTGTAACAGAAGATGCACAACTCTGTGGAAGTGTGACAGGAACAGCTGTGATGAACCTTCACTGTGTGCAGGTCATCAGGTTACTCGTTGTCTCGTTTTGATGGTCTGTTGTTGCCTCCCCTTTTTCAAAAATGGTTGTTAGCCAGAGGGCTCTGTATGCTCCATTTTCTGTGTGACGCATGCTGATGAGCCACGCACATGATGCACAACTTGCCGCTGTGTTGCTCAACACTGAACCTGACAGGAATTTATCTCAGCACAGTAAGTTCACCTCTTTGGTGCTTCATGTCCAATTCCTGCCAGAGACTTCCTGGTTCTGAATATTGGCGTTTTGTTTGCCCTAGGTGGGCGTTGGATTGTGGCTGCCTGGCAGCTTTTCTTGTATGCCGCACTGCTCATGCCAGGTTTGATACAGGTACGGCTGGAGCATCGTGTAGGCAAGAAAAAAGCTCCATGTGGAATGGTGGTTGGATAGTGCTGTAAATTGAGCCACACGTTTGAAGGCCATCATCTTGTACAGTACAGTGCCCTTATACAACGCATCTTTGCCTAACCAGAAGATCGACATTGTAATTAAGCAGTCAGTGTAAATGTTGTAGTCCTAATCAGGTAACTGCAGTAACTTTCTGTGATGCACTTTGAGTGCATGAAATGTACAGCAGTGAGTGCTGGGCTTGAGTGCAAACCTCTGCTGCAGCACAGGCTAATGGACGGCCATGGGGAAGGATCTGAACACGGTGTGGATGCACGTCACACAAATCGCTCTTACTCATATCGCCCTCCCCTCCCCCTTCCACACACACACACACACAAAAAAAAAAAACAACTAAGTCTGTGAGGCTCCTGTCCATGCCATGAAAGACTGTGCACAGCAGCTCAACAATGATTTTGGAGAATGCCTGCAGGTGGTGTTCTACTATTTCTTCTCACCTTCCGTAACCAGGAGCATCATCTACAGCAAGAAGGTGAAGGATGTGCTGGTGAACAAACAGACTGCACCTTGCATGTTGTATCAGCTCGCACATCGGATTCAAAACTGCAAACAGGTTTGAAAGTTTGCCAGGACTGGACAGAGACGTAGCTCGTCTCTGTTTACGTACTCAAAAGCATATGTGTGTATGTGTATGTAAGCACTCTACTATTTGCTATGTATGTCTCACGTCTGTTAGTTTTTTGTGTGAACTGACTGACAACATGCAAATGGTGTGGAGGCACAAATACAGTTGTTGTCGCTGTTGCACTCTTCTAGTGCCCACACAGATTTGTGGATCGCCACAGTCAGGCATGGGGAAACTCAGATACTGTTTATAGGAAGGGCCTGCATTTCTCCTCTATAGGCATCACTAGGTGTAGCCTCCACTGCCAGGGGCGCAGGCACATTTTTTGTGCAGGCAGGCCTGAATTGGAGTTCTTGTGATTGCATACCTAGCAAGTATTGAAACCCAACCTTTGCATGTGCAATAACTGTATCACCAAAGTTCAATTCCCAAGGGCTGACCTGGCTCATATTGGCAGTGAAAGTTCTCATAAATGAGGCGAGTGACATCTCACAACACCAGTTGCAGTCATGTTATGCATACAGCGAAGCAGCAGTCAACACCCAGTCAGCCACCCATGGCACCACACTCCCATAAAGTCTGCAGAAATCTCCTTGGATCCAATGAATTTGTCTTTGGTATATGAAAGAGTGAAATGCATCGTATGCTGCAAACCAGTGGCCTTGTAACACTCAGGCTATGTTTGGGTCAATCGCCTGCAACAGGAGATGGGGAGTTTGTCTCTGGCATGCTGTGCTTGCTGATTGCTGCACCTATGTCTGTGCTACCGATGGTACAAACAAAGTATTGATTTGTGAGACAGTAGTTGTCATTATTTGGAATGATAGAAGTATGTGGTCATACTGATGTGTGTGCAGTCTGTATGAGAAGTGCGAACGACAAGAGTAGAAGAGCATGTTGAGATGTTGAGGTTTCAATTCCAAAGCATCGACCTACAGCTTGGCAGGCAGCTCCAATTGTTACCTTGCCTGCAGCAGTTTAACTTACAGCTACAATGGCATTTCCCTTTTGTACTGTTCCAAATATTCTTATTTTACTCCGGAGTATTGTATCACATCTAAGGCGTCAATATGTGCTGGTGGTTGCTGACCAGCCCCGCAATAGGCTGGATTTGTACACACCTTCATCGAGTCAAGATGGGCGAGCTTGGCCCGTGGTGGTTTTTGTCACAGGTAGGCAAGTGGTCATTGTCAATCGAACAGATAAGTGGATGTGTCCGTGGCAAAAATGTGAAAGCCAGCACACAGCCATGCCATATGCCTGTTTTTAGTTCGGATCACAAGAGAGTATCAGTAGTTCCTGTGGTGTGGAAGGACATGAAATGCTTGGCAAACATGCCATTGTCAATCAAGGGTTCTTTTCCAGAGAATAATGGTAAAATGCAGCACAATAGGTTCTCCCTCCAGAGGGAAAAGGTTTGTGAGGCTGCGCTAAGTGGAGCAAAAGATGACATAGAAACTGCAGAGTGCACAGACAATGTGCAAACCACTGCGAGCAGCAATAGAACATGCCCTCATTGAGACCGGGGGGAATGGGAGGGGGCTGTCTGTACTGGAGCACACTGTGTGGATGAAGTCTTCTCATTTGGGGCAGGCAGTGCCAGTCTTGTCACAATTTTGTGGCGGTCGGTGGGTGGGGAGATTTGTGGCTTTTTTGAAGGTGTTTGTGGATGCTTCTATCCATGAGCCGAATGGTGTATCAATCGGCAGGTCAACGCAGTTGTGTGTTCTTGGCAGGTGGGGCTTGGACCATAGGATACAAGGCCTGGGGTGCTCTGCTTGGAAAGAGGCTCAGTGAGCTTGGAATCCTGGTGGCATGTTTAGACTACAGAAATTTCCCCCAGGTACTCTTTCCAGACATTTCTCATCCCTTGTTGGCATCTATTGTACAGGAGCAGTGGCTTGCTGGACTTGGAACACATGCAGCTGCACCATATCAGACACTGGGCATTTGCGCAAAATGGGGACAGAGACAGATTTAACTCATCTCTCGTGCCAGTCCAGGACGTTCAGAATGTTGACAATGAGTTGAGATTAGGAGCAGCCAGGAGTCCAACTTTCAGCTATTTTCAACAGGTTTGAACTATTTGAAGTATTTGTAACTAGTTCATCGGTTAGCTCTCTGCGCCCCGTCCTGGGTCTGTAGTACCCTTGCTTTTGTGGTGCTCTGCTTCCTGTGGTATGTCTTCTGCTTCCTGAGATGCTGGAATTCCTCCTAACCACATTTTGTTGGCACTGGCAAATCAAGCCCTTTCGCTTTTCTGGTGATGTCTGCTGAAAACGCAGTGCAATCTGTGTCTGTTCCTATGCAACCCAAGCGGCCCAAAGAAGTGCCGGAGACCACTTAGATGGCGCTTCTACGTAGACTGCTGATGGATATAGGTGTTCAGGCAATAGACATTGGAAACCCACCACCAGATGTTTGACCAAACAAGCTGTAGCAGAAGTGCAGCTTACACTGCCTTTGTCCCAGTGCGCAGCAAATGTCAAGCCCAAATGATCAATGTCCTGATGCGCCTTCCCTCTCATGCACAGAGTGGCAGCGTCCTCCTACAAGACCTTTTTTAGCTTCTGGCTTTGATGTCTTTGTTTGCAGTCTGATGATGTGTTTGGGTGTTTGGCAGTTATGTGACTCTTGATGTTCTTGACCCAGTGTAGTTGTTTGAGTTGGATAGAGACATGTGCTATGATCACTGTGTCACCACACTGTCCACACATGGGCACAGCCGTGCAACCCCGATTCTTGGCTTGCCTGTTGTCACTAACTCACTGCTGGTCTGTGGAGACACTGTCAGGGCAATGCTCTTGATATGCTGGAGGATGTCAACACGGGGGTGGCATGGGTGTTGCGCCACATTGGCAGGCATGGAGGGGACCCTGAGAATGTCTATTTATGTGGCCAGTCCGCTGGGGGTCACCTTTTGGCGCTCGTCCTCCTCGCTCAGGTGAGCCCTGGGAATGTAACAATTCCAGGAGGGTGATTCTGAGTCCTTTGAGCTCAGCAAGAAAGCACACAACACAGAGCAGTACATTCAGCAATAAGCTAATGCACTCCAGGAGGGGAAAATGGGGAAGGGGATCCATCGAGTCGGGAAAGATCGATGCAGAACTCCCTTGATAGCATTCATCGGTGCAGGCTTTTCAAACTGCGGCACCTACAGGACCTTTGTTTCAAACATGAAGAGGACATGTTGGAGGGGACTGTCCATGGCCTGAACCCATAACCGACTTCCAGGTGGAGGAGCATAGTTTTGCTGTGTGATGGCAAAGGTACACAAACTGAACTCATTTGCATGTGGCAAAGCTTGCAATATCCTACCTTGATGCTCCTGATGCTGGTTTCTCGCACTACACAGTTTCCGATTCAGTCGATAGACTTTGATTTTTTGGATTTCCTGTGGCCATCTTTCGCAGTGACGATGAGAGCACGTGCTGCCTCTGACTGGGATGAGACGCTGCTATGACACTGCTTGTGACTAGCCAGTGAATATCGCTTGGGCACGAAAACCTGTCTGACGTGAACATTGCGTTTTCATTACATTCTGAGTACAGAGCACTAGGGAAAAAAGGTCCAAATAACACGTATTCAAACATGTGCAAAGTTTACAGGTTTGGGTGATTTTCGTGTTTTGCATGCAGGACATTGGTGAAATGCATTGTGCTCGCAAAAAGTGTTATTTGGTCCTTTTCTTGCTAGTGGAAAGTGCAGTCGACGTGTTGGATGGTTGTAACATGACGCAAGGCGGGATGACTGAAACGTGCATTTGTTGCTGTGCTGAGGTGCAACGCAAGCTGGCAGGGCGATGCCGTTTGTTAAAGGGCCGAACTTGGGACCCCAGGAGAACAAAGGGCTTCATAGGGGTCTCTGGAGCTTACAGCCTGGACGGATTGAGGGAACACCTACACAGGAGGGGGCTGTGCAAAAGGTGACTGCAACTAAGTAATTAGTACTGTTTAGTACTGAAGCAGTTGATTAGATCAAGGAAACGTGGTGTGCCTTGTGTTGTGGTTGGCAACACTTCGACGTGCTTTTTCATGGCTTGATGCCATGGGTAATGCGTGCTTGTGAAGACTACGCCCGGTAAGCAGCCAAAGCAGCCATGTGTCGTTTGGAGCCAGGTTCAGGTGTGCTGGGGAAATGCCTTTAGCGCACTGAACTAATCAATTAACTGACAATGACAGCCGATTAGTAATGGCCAATGAGTGGCTGATTAACATCCTTTGGGGTACAATACCAAATGCCTGGCACTTTGACCTTGTGCGCACCCTGCCTGAAGGGGGTGCTTTGGTAGCCTCTGCAGCCAAAACCAAAAATGACCTCCTAAGCGGCAGTGATGAATGGGAGGCGATCCCAGAACCAAAGTGGTGTGCGTAGTTGCACGACTCCACAGTTGTATCTCCGAATCTGAATGCGCAACATGAATAAAGTATAGAAGCACCTGTCAGTAGATTAGCCAATGCAGGCAGCGGCTAACCCAGCCCGTGCATTTGCCTGTTGAGCAATCTGCCTGGTGGGCATTTAAATCTGACGCGATGTGTTGGAATCCAAAGAAGGTGTCTGTTTGTGACCAGCCTGTTTGAGAGCATCATGAGCTTGGACGGAAAGCCAGCCTTGGTGGAGCTGTCGCCAACGTACTTCGCGAGGAAGTTGGGTCTGAGGCTACGGTATGCAGGAGATCGATACGATCGAAACGATCTAAACAATCGGAGCGATGGAAAGGATCGAAGCAATAATTGGAGAATTCGATTGGATAATTGAACAACTCGACAGAATTAAGCTCAACAATTCAATTGGATAATAACAATTCATTTCATTTTTTTGTTATTTGATTAGCGCAATGCTCTCATTATTGGTGGCCCGAGCATTAGTCAGTGTATATTAATTTGAAATTCAATAATTCAACTGGATAATTCAATAGTTCGATCGAAGCGATTGAAACGGCGCAGTGGAAAGGTGGGTAGTGGCGATCCTGTTGATGCGTCTTGAATCATGATCAATTGATCGTCTAGTCCTGGATCATTTGAATTGCATGAGTTTGTTGCAGGACAGACTGCAATGCCGACTGCAGCGTGTGTGGGACGTAACACACTTTCTGGCGGAGTGCGTACAGGAGTGATGTTTGGCATTTTAGCAATGTTGCACGTATGTGTTATCCGCGTTAGAACTTATGTTTTGGTGTTCACCACTTCGGCTTTGGGCTCATTTGCCCCCGAGGGGGCCTTGCCGGTGTGTTGAAAGGCTTTCGTTTCCTTGGCAAGAGAAGTATGAGTTTGTACTGATGTGCTGAGTTGGCATACTCTTTCGTGAGCATGCTTCGGCACTGATCGTGTGCGGAGTGCATTTGCAAGCGCTGCCCATGGTGTCTTCCTCCTCAACAAGGGATGCTGCAGGGCCCCTTTCCATATGACTGAAGCCAATGGAAAAAGCTCTGGTGCAGCAGCTGTGAAGAAGAGTGTGGCGCATAGCACCTTCCACCCGAGTCAGGAACGTTGCAATGCCCGCATGTTTGGTGTTGATTATTTTGACTGTAACTCCATGTTGCGATGGGATTATACATTTTTCACACACTTACGTTTGTGCGTTGATTTTGACCAGTGGTGAGCTGCCAGAGGTTCTTCTGCTGCACGGAAAGGCTGACAAATCTGTCCCCTGCATGTCTTCCTCCACTTTCTGCGAGGCCCTAAACGTGCGTCCAAAGCACAGTGAGCAACATGTCGCATTGGTAGCAGTGTGTCAATTTTGGTTTTGGTACCTATTTTGGAAGTACGCTAGCCGTCTACCACTGCTTCTTCCTTGTCTGCATTTCTTACGCTTATCTTACAGATGAGAACAACAGTGAATAGAACAAAATGGAATAGATTTTTCCATTTTTTTCGTTTCCACCGCTGGCAGGCATTTGATGAACTTGCCGTTATCGTGGTGATTATTTTAAGAACTGGGAATTGTGGCGCTGAAAGTGTCAGTGTCAAGAACGGTTCGCTAGTGCAATTGTGTCGATCAACTGTTGTATGTTACGCTTTATGTGCCGTGCGTTGCACGCTGTGCCAGCAGCATTTTAAGTTTGTTGATTGAGTGATACATTTGATTCTTTGACTGACCAATTGATTGGTTGATTCATTAGTTGATTCATTGACTGATCAGCTGAGCGATTGAATGATTGGTGGACTAATTTATTGATTGATTGACGTATTGTCTTGTTGGTTGACTGATTTACTGCCTTGTTGACTGTTTATGTGCTGTTTTATTTACTCTTTTTCCTACTGTGTTACGTACTGTTTGATTACTGTTTTGGTTGTTTCCTGTGTTGTGCACGCAGTCTGGAGGCGTCAAATGCGAGTGCCGACTGTATGAAGGCAAATCGCACACCGACCCCCTTGTGGACGATGCACTACGGGGAGGGCGAGACGCGCTCATGGAAGACATCGTCGAAATGGTGCGAAATACGAATCCGCATTAAATGCAATTGCTTTGAGGCTGTTCTTTTAAATGCTGCAGCAATTGACCTAAACAGGAATCCGCACGAAATGCCTTTGCTTCAAAGCAATTCCTTTCAACAAGAAAATAATTGACATGCAGCGGAACTGAAGAATGTGGAGAAGCGTCTGAGAATGGAAATCACGAAACGCATTGCAGGTCGCGGAAACGAGGAAGACCTTTATGAGCATGTCTGGGAACTCGACTTGGCCAACACAGCTATGTTGCAACACGGCGCTGCTGATGCTGTGGACTGTGTAGATAACACAGCAGGCTGTGTAAATGTATGGTGCCACCATTGTTCCGAAGGTTGCCTTCCCAAGCTCTGTCTTGGGAAACGTGCTGTCAGGCTCTGTACTTTACAGTGCTTGCTGCAACCACTTCTTTTGTGAAAAAGTGTTGTGGGCCAAGTAAGACGCGTTCGCGTCGCCTCGAAACTCGGGTGGGGTTGCGCCCAGAGGCAGCGACAATGAATGCGTGTGGGAATGGCGCAAGCATTTGCGTGGCTTTTGAGCGCCGCTGGTCCTTGTTACAGGACCGAGCAACGAACAGAGCCTTTGCACCGACATCACCTCACGCATGTCCGATGTTCCCCATGCATTGGCTGCCATCGGAAGGAACATAGCAACCCGCAGATCCACACGCACGGCTGCTTGGGGCCAACATGCGGCTGCCATGGATACAGCCGCTGGCGCGAACCAAGTGCAAACATTGATGCCTTATGCTGCCTTTTCTCCTGCCTCCTTGCAGGCTTTTACTGCACTTTTTGGTTCTGCTGCCTTCTGTGAGGCAGGGTGGATTGCATCCCTGCAGCCGCGTGTTGGCGACATGCATATTACCGCCTGCAATGTCAAAGGGGCTATTGTAATGGGTTGTGTGAAACGAAATGTAAAAAATGAGCCGAATTTCACGGAAGGAAGAGTTCAGCTACTTCTTTCCAATTTCCTTTTATATGGATTTGCAGTGCAATGCACGGGTGCGCTGTGCTTTATTTGGATTATGTGTACGTTCGTGTTCTTATGGACTCTTGTGTGTGTTGACAGGTGTTGAAGCGCAAGATTCAGAAATGGCAGGCTCCCCTGCTCCCTGGCTTCTTGGTGACTGCCGCGTCTTTTGTGTGCCCATTTTAGGACCTTAGCTGGCATATCTAGGATAGCATGGTACCCTCTTGGGCCACGGCAGACTTATCACACGCACGTGTGATGATCACAGATGATCCCATCAGCGAACAGACCTCCCCCACCGCTCACTCCGACCCCTTTGGTAGAATTGTGAGAAGACGTGTTTCTTGTGTTGTAAGTACCAGTTTACACCAAGTTTTGTGTGGAGGCGAGCTGGAATGTTTGCAGGAAGCTCCACACAAATCGAGAACACCGCGGCAGATTGTCAAGGCGCCCCTTAAGCAACAACTGGCATAGCAAAGTATAGCGAAGCATTGCTAATCATGCGCGGAGACGTGACGTTCGTTCTTCCTTTCAAGGTGTACAGCACGTGAAAACTCCAAGAATAGAAGGGAAATTGAACAGTGGAAATTTTTGAAACCAGAACAAAGGAACTCAGCCGCCGCCACTCCAGCACGCTGCCGCACGCGATCAAGTCCGCCCAGAGTGCAGGCTCCACCTGCAAGAAGATCCCTCTTGATTCCCAATCTCGGGCGGTGTCGCCAGATTCCATCGCCTAGGGGTGGCGACGTCGCTGCTCTGTGGCCCGTGGTGGTGGTGGGAGAACTGAGAGCCCTCCCAATACCATCGACAGACTCCCCCCTTCCCCATCCCCCATTGCGACAGATCCGCCGACGCTGCTGACGCCCAGCCATCCTTCCAACCCCTTCAGGGGCAATGTCGCTGGGGTCGCATCATTGTCCCTGGAGACATCACCATAGGTTGGGCCTTGTCTCGAAGATCTGCACTGTAGTATCTGTCTTTATAGTACTGAGTCGCCTAGCACTGCTGAAGCAGTCTTGTACATGGTGTTGTACGTTATGCCCCATCATGTGGAAGTGCTCTGCTTCTGCAGTGGAACCCTTGCACGTGTGTCGGCTTCCCTTCGGGCCCCCGCCGTCGCGAGGGGGCCTCCGATGCGCGTGGTGGTTAGCCGCTCGATGCTCCGCCTGCGCCGGGTCCGAATCGTCGGACTGCGCGTGCTGGGCACGGCGCTCGTGGCGGTATGCTCATGGACAGGCGGACTCGCGGGCTCCGCCGTCCAGGTCGGCCGAGGTCGCGGGGTCGGGTCGCGGGCACAGTTTGCTTGCCCGAGAAAGGATCATTACTACACCGCACTCACCACATAAGTACGGTGGTAAGCTCGTGGGCCACCGGTGCGGAAAGAATCCGTGTCATGGCACCCACACCGGTGCCTTAGTGTACTGTCATTGTACCCATACACTTCACAACCCGGTAATAAATTGTCCTGACTATTCATAATCTGATAATCACTCCCCCTTTGAGTATTTTCGTCCCGAAAATCAAATCATGAACCACCACTCGAACCACCCGTGTCCTCTATTGGTCGGTCCCTCTCAATCATCATTGATATATCCTCGGGAGGTTTAATTTCTGTCTCTGGTACCCAAGTAGCATCCTCAATCGGCCAGCCAAGCCACAAGATAAGAAACTCACGAGTCCTCTTATTTCCTATCCGAACATATCGCCACCGGAGCAACTTTTCAATTTCGTACTCGTCATCCACCATCTCAATTTCCGGAATAGGAGCCTGCTCACGTTGATCCCAATCACTGTCACGCCATGCCTTGAGTAGGCTTACATGAAACACATCGTGGATACGCCAGTCATCAGAAAGCTGCAGTCGGTAGGATTGGGTACCAATCTGTTCGATGATACGGAAGGGCCCCACAAAGCGTCTTCACAGCTTTGCCGGTGTTCCACGCATCCGAAGGTTCGTAGTGGATAGCAGAACAAGCTGATCCACTGCGTAGGTCTCAAGGCAGTGACGACGATCATAATATTTCTTGTGTTGCTCGTTCGCCCAGTGGAGATTGTTCCGCGCCTTGGTGAAAGTCCGATGCAGGTGCTGAGCGAAGCTATTTACTGTCTCAACAGGAGAACTGTCAGTCCCTCTGATCAGCTCATTTGGAGTCACTGGGTGATATCCATAATTCAGAAAGAAAGGCGTGTATCCCGTGCTCCTATTTGGCTGGCTGTTCACACTAAATTCAACAATGGGTACCAATGAATCACAATCACGAGGCTCTCCCAATTCATGCACAGTGCAACGCAGTGTTTGTTCAAAAATTGCGTTCATTCTTTCTACCAACCCTTGAGTCTGTGGGTGGTAGGCACTGCTGAATCTCAAGTCAGAACCAACCAATTTCCAAAGACTTCGCCAAAAAGCACTAGTAAATCTGCGATCACGATCAGAGTATAGTGCCTTGGGCAATCCATGAAGTTTTCCCACATGTTGCCAGTACAAAAAATGCAATTTCAGATGCTGAAATCTCTTCCTTGCAGGGTACAAAATGCACCATCTTTGTGGCCCTGTCGACCACTGTAAGCACAGCATCGTTACCACATTGAGTCGTAGGCAGCTTGGTAATGAAGTCCAAAGTCACCTCTGTCCACTTTTGCTCAGGTACTCTCAATGGTTGCAACTCACCACGTGGACGTTGATACTCAGACTTCTCCAACTGACAAACTGGACACGATAGGACATACTCTCTGATATCACCTGCCATTCCTCTCCAATACAAACCTCTTCTGGCAGTGTGTAATGTCCTCAAATAACCTGGGTGCCCAGCATAGGGAACATCATGGAGTTCCTGGAGTAGCAACTTCTTGATCTCATGGTGGTCTGGTACCACAATTTTCCAATACTGGTCTTCGTCACTGAAGTCGCTACGATGGACAACTAACGAGTGGTGCTTCACCCTATACTTCTCCTGACCTCGGCTCACCTCTGGGTTAGTGAGTGGTGCTTCGTCGATTTCCTGTAAAATCTCCGAGTATGGAGTTTCCTGTTCCAACAATTTCATCATCCTGTCTCGGAGTCGACACTCAATGTCCAGAGTGGTCCTGGTGACCAAACATCGTGCCAACGGTGTAGGAGTTCCATTATTACTGCTCTCCACTGATGACAATACTGCAGATGAACTGATTTCCTTCCTCTCAACAAACAACTGATCCAATGCAGCTTGGATGTCTTGATCTGAGGGGTTCTCACCTAGCTGTAAAATCCTTGCCAGATTGCTGTCCTCCTCCTTTGCAGCGCTACTCAGCTTTTGATTATCCATCCACCTCTGTCGCGTAAGGGCGTCTGCTGGGTCCTTCCGGCCTGGAATATGCCTGATGTCAACATCATAACTCTGCAGAACGCCAACCCACTTCCAAATATGACGGTGGACACTGAGTTGATTGGGTAGATATCGCAGGGAACTGTGGTCAGTCTGAATAATAAACCTGCGTCCCTGTAGGAAGTGACGCCACTATCCCACTGCCCATACGATACCCAATAACTCCCTTTCATATGCCGAGTATCGGATCTCCGCCGAGTTCAATTTCTTTGATGCATACGCAATCGGTTGGAGACCCTTCCATGATCCTACTGCAAGATCCCACCTACAACAACTAAACTGGCATCCATGGTCAATACGAATGTCTTCTCAAAATCCGGGAATATGAGGATTGGTGCCGTCGTCAAAGCCACCTTGAGTTGCGCAAAACTGCGTTCCTCATCCTCTCCCCAATGCCACGGCTTCTTTTCCTTGGTCAAGTCTGTCAGAGGGTATGCAATAGTCAAAAACCCTCTAACAAACCGCCTGTAGAAATTGGCTAACCCCAAAAACGATCTAACATCCCGAACTCCTTGCGGTGTAGGCCATTCCACTATTGCTTTGATTTTCTCTTGAGATGGCTGCATTCCCTGGGCAGAGATAGTGAATCCCAGATACTCCACCCTGTCTTTGAGGAACTCACATTTATGCAACCTCCCAAACAACTTGGCCTCTCTCAATCGCTGCAAGGCAACTTGCAAGTGCTGCCAATGTTCTTCTATCGTTCTTGAGAAGATCAGTATATCGTCGAGATACACCAGAATGAAAGAATTCAGCTCGTTCTTGAATATTTTATTTATTAACCGTTGGAATGTCGCTGGTGCATTCGTCATTCCGAACGGCATTGCCACAAACTCAAAATGTCTACGGTTGGTGCGAAATGCTGTCTTCTCAATTGCTCCTTCCTTCACTCCAATCTGGTAATACCCACTAGCTAAATCCAATGCAGTAAATACTCGAGCATTCCCCAATCGATCCAATAGCTCGTCAATCCGAGGCAGCGGAAAACGGTACTTTATTGTTTGTTTATTCAGTGCCCGGTAATCAATACAAAGACGCCAACGTCCGTCTTTTTTTGGTACGAACAAGATGGGCGCGCCGTAGGGACTCACCGAGGGTCGGATAAATCCCTTCTGCAGTAAATCTCGTACTTGCTCCTCCAACTCATCCTGTTCTTTCGGTCCAAGACGATATGGCGGGCGATTCGACGGCTCTGCATCTTCCGAGACACGAATATCAAACTCCACTGCGTGCTTGGGTGGACGCCCAGCAGGCAGCTTTTCTGGAAATACATCCTCGAATTCATCGAGAATTGCTCGTAGCTGCTGTCGGTGCTCTGCGCTGATCGTCTCCATAATCTGTTCCTTCCGCTGCTGAACTATAACAAAGTCCTTCTTAGGGCCTGTTGACTGCAATTTTTGCTTGTGGGTTTGTGTTGACCCACCATGCACTGCTCCTAGTGTAGGTGTAGTCCGATCTACTCTCTGAGCCAACGCCAGGAAAACTGATATCCCCTGTCTCGCCAGCTTGTTGATTTTCCTTCCTGTAATAAACTGTTTGCATTTGGACGCTTTGGATTGTGTCTTCAAAACTGGCTGACCTTGGACCCTAGTCACTGAATTAATTGTAGCCCTGGTCTTGGTCTTTCTCACCACTGGTTGCGTCTCTTCTGTACCAGTCTTGGGCTGATCACTCCCCCATTGAGACCGATGCCTCCAGGCAAGGGAAGATAGAGAATAGGTCCAGAAAGAGGGCGTAGACAACAAGGAAACTTGGGGAGGATGGAGTGGGGGGGGGTGGGCGGAAAAACTCACGTAATACCTTGACTTGGCCGGTAGTCTGACC